GCATTAGGTGACCAAAGTATCTGAGCTTGAGCTTCATTATCGATCCTTCCAATGAGCAATCAGGGTTGATTAAATTGTTCACCTGCTGGCTTTTCTACAATTCCAGTAGATTTAGGGAATTATTGGTGTGAAGCGAATGACAAAGAATCTTGAGGCTTCCTAAATACCATTCATTATTAGTGTTATTATTGTTTGTTAATTTTGTAGGCTGGTGACTCCTACCAGCTTAATAACATGTGGTGGCTTTTAAGATGCCACAGTGCTCTCTCTCACTGTCTCTAGATACTGGTGTATTTGTGAGCAGGAAATACTCTGAAGACATAATCCTCACTGACTTTAATAATATTTCCTTCCAGATAAAGAATAGACAGTATTGATAGATGAGCCCACTATATCTGGACTGCAGAATTTTGCATGGCCACTAAATGAAGGCAGAGAGTTAAAGTTTTGCAGCCCAGATATGATCTGGCTAGTAACAGATAACCTGCAGTTGTCCAGGTGTTATTGGACTTGATTTCCTGTCTTTCCTGATCATTTGATATGACTGGGCTGATGGAATTTGGAGTCTGACATAATCATCTGGAGGGCTGCATGGTGCCTACTCTTGTGTAGGGGTTGCAGCCTAACCCAGATTACGAAAAAAATTACAGCCTCAATCCCCATCTCTAATGTGGAAGATATAATTTTTACTCGGTTTCCAGAGTTACAGTAAGGGTTGAAAATACATAACGTAGGTGAAGTACCTTTGCACCCTTAAAAGTATCCAAATGTTAAGTATGATTATTTAAAAACAGCTTGATAGATGGCATTTGAAAAGTTATGATGATAAAACAGGTATTTCAACTGTTGTGACAATAGCTGCTAAATAATTACAATTTACAGGTAAAGCAGCAACTATATGCCATCTGTGATAACAGTTGCATTCTCTCCAAAGTGTTGTGACAGGAGAGCAGCTTTTGATTTCACAAGGGTCAGCTGAAAGACTTTGGATATTTTAACATTCCTGTTCTGGGTAGCTATATGTTCATTTTGCATAGTACAACACACAGAGGAGAAATGGATCAGCTAAACACTGATGATGTAGAGGTCAGTGTGATGCAGATACGATTGTTGGTCTTACATAGTAATCCCACGCACACTTCCTTGAGAATAAGCAATATGAAACACAGCAGGATTTAATTCTGAGTACATTTGCGTGGGTTGTGTTGTTAAACTTGGAGGTCTAGGTTCAGATCACTGCTTGGACATTTTAATAAGTTAGAGTGGGCCATTTGTTCTCTTTCCATCTAAAATAAAACATTACATGTGCTGTCTTCAGTGTAGTTGATTCCTAAGGTAAAAAGTATTTCATTGCCATTAAATTGTAGTAATACGTCTGGCAACCTTCTGCACCAGCTATGCAGAATTTTCACAGACAGCCTCACAAAAAACAAAAGCATGGATAAGTATCATTGGAAACAGCAGAGCATCTGCAACAGATACATCCATTTAAAAGAAAAGAAACACCACAGTTCCAGTTCTAAAATAGGAACTCTTTATTTTTTAAATTATATCTAAAACAGTGTTTTGAGGTAGACTGTTATTCTGGTTCTTTAGCTATGGAGCTTCAGGCAAGAAACTTGGACTTGCATTATTGGATGTTGTGGAATTTGACTTTGTTTTCTACATAGGATCCTACCAATATGTATAATTCCTTTTAGATTCTAAGCAGAAAAAAATGGTATGAATTTAATAACCATGTGTATTTTTTTTTATATCTTGCTCAGAGGCAGAATAATTCTACAACTATGGAGAATGAATCAAGCACAACGACTTCTTCCACATGCACAACAACCATTGCTACCACATCTTCCCCCTCCCGTACACAGCCACCCCAGATATCTGTCTACAGTGGCTCAGATCGACATGCCGTGCAGGTATTTAATTGAGGAAACACTGATAATATGTATTATAGTTGAAAATAAAAGCTAAAAATGTTGTAATTACCAATAGAGGTGAATATGTGTGGCTCAGGGTTGAACTGTGGCGTCCTTGGGGTTCTCTCAGCTTGGTTCTTTTCTTGCAAACGTTTCATTACCTGGCTAGGTAACATCTTCAGTGCTAAA